TGCTCCATCAGGTTTTCAGTGGCTGACTTTTCAGAAGTGGATCACCAGGTCTTTTTTCCAAGGTGCCTCTGGTTAAACCTTTCAGTTAGCAGCCAAGTATGTTAACCATTTGCACCACACAGGGACTCCTACTTAATACTACTCTAGCACCAATCATCTTTAGGTATGCTCAGAACACAGACCTAAGTACATTACTTTGTTGCATGTTGGAACCGGAACCAGCCCACAGAGAAGATTATTTAGAAAACAATAAAGAAGAAATGGATGAAAAAAGGCCTAGACAAGTAATAGAAGCAACAATGAGTTCATTTAGGTTTTTGAACTTATCCCAATAAATAACCTTATCTTCTTGTTTCTCTAGTGCCTCTTCATTTGTAAAGCACTTCTCTTGTTCAGGGAGCTCTGGTGGCATAGTGCTTAAGGCACTTGACTGCTAACCAGAAGGCTGGTGGTTCAAACCCACCAGTCATTCCTTGGAAGAAAGATTGGGCAATCTACTTCTGTGGTGATAGAAACCCTATAGGAAACCCAAGGCAGGGTCACTATGAGTCGGTCAGACCCAACGGCAGTAAGTTTGGTATTTTTTCTCTGGTTCATGTTGGCTTATGAAGTGTACAAAATATGTATTATCTGCATTTACCAGGTGGGGAAATGGAAGAACGGAAGGGTAAACAAAGTACGGCTCAAGGGCCAATTCCACCTGTGTCCTGTTTTTGTACAGTCCATAGATTAAGAATAGTTTTTACATTTTATAAATACAGTTTCCAAATGAGCCATGCTCACTCTTTTGCGTATTGTCTATGGCTGCTTTTGCACTAAAATGGAAGAGTTGAGTAGTTGTGACAGCGACTATATGGGCCACAAAACTGAAAAAATTACTCTCTGGCCCTTTACAGAAAAACATTGCTGACCCCTTCCCAAGACCCACAGAGGAGCTACCAGCAGAGCCCAGATTTTTGGAAACCAGCCCAGTGTTCCTTCCACTCAATCTTCTGCCTCTCCTTAAGTCATTTCAGGATGTGGTTCATTCAGGTATATGTTTGAGAGGTAGGAGGGAGTCTACAGAGCAACCCGCAACATGCAGATGAATC